CTCTAGCCATATCCATAAGAAGGATGTCATCATTGAAAAGTATACATCAAGGTATACCCTCTTATAAATGTCCAATAAGAGATTCATAACTAAAGAAAAAGATATGGGCTTAAAGTCAATCCCTGTTGTAATCAACTGAAATAAGGAAATACTTGGTTAATCCTTCTTTTGTTCAAACACAAGTAATAACTCTATTATACATTGAATAAAATTCATATCAACACCTTTCTTTTCTAAAACATTTCAAAGAATATCTATAGGAACTTTTATATAATAATAAAAATTAAATAATTTTCACTATATTTGTTCACATCATTATGTGGAGTGGCTTGGATATATGAATGTAATAGTCGATAATTTAAGCGCTAAGTTTTCCACCAAAATTATAAACAACTTAAAATCAACAATGGAAGAAATTATTTGTTAAAACTTATGTGTCTTAATTTCTACAACAAATCATTTGTTCCAAATATTGATAAATTAAATAAAGGACACTTAAACAAATGACATCACTATTTAATGATGTGCTCTTAATTTCTCAAAAGATATGATTATGATGCCTTTATAATATTGTGGCATAAGAATTTGGAGCCTCATTTTCAAAAGATATAAAAGTTCACAATTATCATTGCTAATAATAAGAACATTCATGAGCTTATTGAGAAATGAGCCTACATAGAGTCAAACTTAGGTCTATTATGTAAGAAATGAACATATTATAATAGATTTAAAATGTGATGGCTATTTAAATATTTGTAATTTGAGAACAAAAAAAAAATGGGAAAAATTGGTAATCACAAAAAAACGAGCAAATAGGTTAAGAGAAACATCATATAACCTTTCAACATAGGAGTGAGTACTATCTAGAACAAAATATAGAGAATATATTGACAAATTATTAGACAACTTACTAAAAATTTTAAAGAATGTTATCTTCTATCGAACCACATTAAGAACTATTAAATGTATGTTCTTAATGTTTGATGTTGTAATATTATATCTCATGTGTGTTTTACTTTATTTAAAAAATTAATTTGTCATATATATATATATATATATTGAAAAAAATGGGGCAGGGTACCTCAGATGATTTGCCGTGACCTCTGAGAGAATCTTTCTTTGCTGTGAGGAAGGGAGACATCAAATTCGAAGCTTTGTTAAAGAAAGCCAGGCCCTCAAGCCCCCCCGCCCCCCCAAAACACGTTATTTACACACACACCCACACACACACACCCACACACACACACACACATATATATATATATATATATATATATATATATATACACACACATACATATGTATGTATATACATTTTTTTTCTTAAAAGGATCCACACATGCAGGAAACCAGATGCATCCTGCACATGGGATATATATATATATATATATATATTATAAAGTTCCAATAGATATTCTATGGAGAGTTTTAGAAAAGAAATGCGTTGATATGACTTTTACTCAATGTATACTAGAGTTGTTACTTGTGTTCGAACAAAACATGATTGACCAATTATTTTCCTATTTCAATTAGATTACATCATGTATCGACTTTAAGCTCATATCATTTTTCTTTAGTTATGAATTTATTATTGCACATTTACAGGAGGATGTACATGGTTTATACTTTTTGCTAATGACATTTTTCTTATGGATATGACTAGAGAAAGAGCTCAGGGAAAAACTTAAATTATGGAGGTTTACATTGGAGTCTAAAGAAATTCATTTGAGCAGATCTAAAACCGAGTACATTGAATGTAATTTTAGCAATAGTAGTTTTAGTGTTAGAGTTGTAAATATGAGAGATCAAAGCATTTAAAGTTGTGAATGTTTTAGATATCTTGAGTCTATTGTTTAAAGTGGTGGTGTATAGATGGGGATGCTATTAGTAGAATTCATGTTAGACAGTTGAAGTGGAAAAATGTATCAAGCCTATTGTGTGATAGAAAAGTATCGCTTAGACTTAAAATAAAGTTAAATGTTGTTGAGATGAGATTGCTTAAATGGACGAGTGGCTTGACACTTAGAGACAAAATGTGAAATGAATCTATCCATGAAAGGTTTGGTGTAGCTAGAGTGCAGACATAATTATAGAGAGTCATCTTAGATAGTTTGGTCACATTAAACACTGATCGTATAATGATCTTATTAGGAGAGAAAATGTTTTATATTTGATTTATGTTAAGAAAGGTATTGGTAGACCTAGAAAGAATTGGACATATTATATAAAAAAGATCTTAATATATTAAAATTAAATGAAAATATGACACTAGTGGGATTCATTGGCAAAAAGAATTCATATAGTCGACCCCACTTAGTGGGATAAAGGCTTCATGTTGTTCCTGTACCTAGTAAATTAACCATAATAAGAAAAAATAAATAACCTTATAATAATGACATAATATAGTTGGGTTTTACATTAAACCCTTCAAAAAACAATTGTAAAAGACAATTGGGTTGTGCCATAATATAACCAATATATGTTTATACAAAAATTTGTATAGCTCTAACTCCAGGACACCCTAGGTTCAAGGCATCTCTAGCAAGTTTATCCTTACAAATTATCCACATGCCATAACTCACAAAACTTAAATGGCTTTTCAAAAATAAAATTTCATTTGAAATAAAAATTTAAAGAAATACTACAAAATAAAGATCAATATAACAAAGTGTATGTTGCATTCATATACAATAGACTTGTCATATATTGATCCTAAGTAATATTTAATCATTATTTGGCACCATAGAGTTTATAAACTAATACATATATCATCATAATTTATATTTAATTATTTTATTTTTCTTTAGAGCATGACCACCTACCATCTCCATCTGTGATCACTTCACATGTAAACTAAACTAAAATAACACACTATACACATGAAAGTCATCTACTATGCACCAACCCTAGAATCTCTAAGGGTATGCCTAACATAACATCTAAGGTAGACTACCTTACATGGATATCATATACTAAAAATATGTTATTTCATTATGAATTATAAGAAAGTCTACTTTAAATATGGAAGTGGTTCAAGTTCAATTGATTAATTTTTTAAAACTTCTATTTATTTTTTTAATATATAATAAAAAATTCTGCAGGAATGAATATCTTCTATCTCAAATGGTATTCCACCTAAATCTTTCATAAAACTTATATATATTCCACCTAAATCTTTCATATCACATAAAAATAACAATATTATTTTCTTTTAAAAAGTGAAATACACATTTTTCATGCACAGGTAAGGTGACATATATGTAAAAATTGAAGTTTTTGAATTATATATGCAAATGCATAGGAATTGAGCGATATAAATGTAAATCTTCCTTTATTTTTTTCATCTTATTTCATCCCAATAAGAAATTTGTGGCATTTACATACATACCACAATTCTTATGTATTTACACATCTAACACCTAAACATTCATACCACTCAACTCCTTTACATTATGTATCTTTTTTAAAGTAAAATATCCATTTTCTAGATTTTAAATACAAATGTGTTAGAACTGTAAATATCAAATTTTAAGTGTTAAATTTTTAAATATATAGGAATTTTTTGGCATATATGTAAATTTCTCATAAAATTTTCTTAATTATTTATTTTCTCTTGCATTATTATTACTTAAATAAATAAAAGATTGTTTACATACATATCACCTGAAGCATTGATATCGACCAATCGAGCACCCTTTTGCAGTTATGGGTGTAAATGAACTGAACATGAACGAACAAAGCTCATGTTCGTGTTAGATTCGTTGAAAATACGTATGTTTGAAATAGACACGTGTTTAAAATTGTTCGTGAAGTTAATGTTTGTGTTTGATTTGATTTGCTTGAAATATATTTGAAATGTTTGAAATGTTTGAAATGTTCGAATTGTTCGAATTATTTGAATTGTTTAATTTGTTTGAAATCTTACGAATTTGTTTGAATTGTTTGAAATCTTTTAAAAGCTTAAACCTATATGAAATTAATGCTTAAATCTCTATGAATCACAACACAAATGCAAAATAACTGAAACACAGCTCACAATAAAACCACCAATACATAAAAAATTCAGAGCTAGATGTCACGGACAAATAGTCCCACATCGGCTAGGTGTAGGGCCAAAAAACAGTATTTAAGTCCTGGGCTGCTCACCTCTCTTAAGAGCTCTTTTGGGAGGTGCAAGTGGTATCAGAGCAGATTACTGCCTGCCAGGTGTGTGGACTCTCCATGGTCCAGTGGGACCCTCGGTGGAGTCGATCCGTGACGAGGGCGTCACGTGATTGGGTGGAGAAGAATGTCACGGACAAATAGTCCCACATCGGCTAGGTGTAGGGCCAAAAAGCAGTATTTAAGTCCTAGGCTGCTCACCTCTCTTAAGGGCTCTTTTGGGAGGTGACATAGAGGTAATCTGTGAGATTTCACTCCCAAAAACTAGATTTCATTTAAAGAAACAAAATAAATCTAAAAGAAATATAAGAAAATTAAGCTAACAGACGAACTTGAAGATAAATACAAAATTATATAATTTAATATAAGCTAAGAGACTAACATGAAAATCAGAAAATAATTTATAAGATTTAATTATTTAAAATAAGATAATTTTTTAGAGTATATAATTATTTTTAAAATATCATAAATTATATATATATAATTATTTTAAAAATTTTATATTTCAAACAATAATTATTCGAAAACGACCGAAGAAATCACTGTTCGTGTTTGATTCGTTTATAAATCGGACGAAAAAAAAATTCTTCGTATTCATCTCGTTTGTTTATCAAACGAATTGAACACGAACTCCCCAACGAGCCGAACACGAACTGTTCGCGAATAATTAGTTTTTTTGATAGCCCTATTTGCAATCATGTTTTAAATTCTCACTAAAATATCAAAATTCTTACCAATTATTTTTTTTAAAATTTTTTAAAAATTTGAATGAACGATTTGATGGTTCAAAACTAATTAAATAACGATTATTTCGGGTGCTTCACTTTCTCTTGGAGCTCGCGAAGAGGCCCGAAGGCTTCCGGCGGAAGGGGAGGTAAAGTCTCAACGAATATCTCCTTGCATTCTTATCGCAGCTTAAAATGGTCCGTTTGATCTTCCTCTTTTTAACGTTCTGTTCGTAGATTTTTTGCAAGGAGAAGAAAGATTCACCATTGTTATCAAGAAAAACGCAACTTTATTTTTTCCCAAGGAACTTCCCGCATGATTATGCTGTTTATTTAATAGATTTTGCTGATGCAGTGTTGAATGGACCTAAGGTCCGTAACCCTTTTCTTCTTTTTGCAATGTCTCTCTATTCCCACCATATTTCTAAGTCATTGATGATTTTTTTTTTTCACTTGGTAATATAGAAAAATAGCAAGTTTTTATGTTTATATATATATATATATATATCACTTTTGATTTTGGTTTTGATGACAACATCACATGATCATGTGGAAAAAAACCAAAATTTCTCCAATATTTGATTATAAGTGTTTAGAACATTCATTCCATCTTACTTTTTCCGCTCTAGGTGGGTTTTCTAAAGTGAAGAACTGTTTTTATTAAAGGTGCATTCAATTAATTTATAACTGCTGCTCCAGTAATTTGAAAATTCTAAATTCTGCTCTATGCATTCTTTGGCCATTTTGTTTACCTTTTTCATGTCTAACAGGGTCTCTTGATGGGAGAGGAATGCAGGCATTGCAAAAAGTGGAAGGAGCACTGCAAAAAGTTTGAGGAACACTTCTATTGGGACCATGTTGATGTGAAGAAGATGCATTTCTCCAAGTCCATGACTGGAGATTTCTCCAAATGCATGGTACTTATAATATTTTTACATGTTTACAGAAAGTAATTATGTTCATTCCATATTGAAATTTTCATATATTGAACTGACATATTAATATCTGAAGTTCTATCTGTGTAGGACTTTTATAGGATTTTATACATTGGTTAAGTTACATGCATATGTTTTATGTGCTAGACAGATGTGAATTTGTGAAAAACCAAGGGGCTGTTTGGGATAACTTTTGATTTTGGTTTTTTATTTTTTATCTTTATTTGGTTTTGTTGATGTTGTGACTTGAAATAAAACATATTTGGTATGTTATAACTTGTTTAATTATTTTTCATAATATTCAAAATAACCTTTACATGTTTTGAATGTTTTTAAAAACAAGATAATTTGTTTTTGAAAATTAAAAAAAGAAAACAAGTAAAAAATGCATTAAACAAACATGTTTTCAAAATACAACAACAACAACAAGCCTTTATCCCACTAAGTAGGGTCAGCTACATGAATCATTTTTTTCTGTTATGTCCTATTAAGTGCCATATTTTCATTTAATTTTAATAAATTAAGATGATTTTTGTACAACATTACCAGTCTTTTTAAGTTTGATTGCATCTTTTTTAACATAAGTCGAATCTATAAACATCTAATTTCTTAACTTGATCATCAAACAATTGACATGTAATTTGACCAAAGGACTTAAGACGAATCTCTCTAATCTTGTCTACCACTATAGCTACAAAAGCCCTATCATAGATATATTCGTTTCACATTTTATCTCTAAGTGTAAAGATGTTCATTCATCTAAGCATTATCATCTCAACAACAATTAACTTAGTTTTATGCTTCCCTTTTATGGGTCAATATTCTGTGTCATAAAGTATTGCAGGTCTCACCAACATCTTATAAAATTTTTCTTTAAGTCTAATCGGTACTTTTATATCGCATAAGAGACTCGAGCTATCTAAAACATTTTCCCACTGTTACAACCAGACCACTAGATTTACTACTACTAAAATTACATTCCATGTACGTAGCTTTAGACCTACTCAAACGAAAGCTTTAGACTCTAAAATTGACCTCCATAATTCTCGTTTTTTCTGAACTCTAAAATTATATGACATGTTTTTAAAATAAATGGAAAAAAATTGATCCCATACAAGCCCTAATAGTTTGAGTTTTTTTTCATGAAGAGAGAAAAATTCTATTATCAATATTGCGATTCTTAATTTTTGTTCAGCGGAAACCAGTGATTTGAAAGTTTTAAGCAAATTAAGAAGATTAGAACTTTGATGCGGATATGAATAGTTGTTGTATTTCTGCAGTAAACCAGAGCAGCTTGATGTATGCTGTTACATTAATGTTATTATGGTCAAGTTAGTGGGGCTTATTGAGGTGATCAAGCTAAGTAGTTGAGACCATAATTTCTCATACACTTCTCAAATGCACACCAATGCTAAATAGTTGTTTGGGTGAACGTCTTAACGAGAAGCCATGCTGTAAGAAAAAGAACATCAAGAGTTTGAAAAATATGAAAATGTATTAGAGAACAAGTTAGATCTTATCTCATTGTTAGAATGCATACAATAATAACCTTGAGCAATAAGTAGATGTGTTTGATGAAATAAATGAGGGGATAAAGAGCTATAGATCCGATGTTGTATAAGGGAACCCAGATGATAATGAAGATGGGATAAAGATGATGAAAATTGTAATGTCTTTAGGTTAGGCGTGCTACAAATTTAAATGGTTTAATTGTTTAGCTTCTTTCTAGCATACGTTTTGAGTATTTTGTTTAGGATAAATATTAGTAAGATTTTCAAATATGCAGACGAATGTAACATAAAAAATTATTATTTTTTCTAGCTCTTCCATTGTGATTCTTATTATTTTATATATCTCCCAAAGCATTACTCATAATTGAAATAAGTTTATTTAATATATTATCAGTTTATTTTTTGGTTCCTTACGTCGCTCGGGTGAGAACTAGTGCCAAAAGTGTTGGAAAGTTGTATTACCTTAAGTTTGACTAAGTGAAACAATAATTTATTCAGGTGTAATACTAGTTGAAGTATAAACACGATTATAGAAGCAAGAGTAAGTAGAATGCAATATTAGATAAACATGATTATATATTCTTAGTCATGAAAATAATATTGAACGGAGATATGATTGGAAGTGGTAAATAGTCTCATTAAAAGTGAGACCCAAGCAGTTCTCATGGGTGACAACAAATAATTTCCATTAAAGAAAAAAACTGACAAGCAATAATAAGAGGAAGCCTATGCTCTTTGGATTGTGTAGGATAGTGAGGAAGGCATGCCAGTTTAGTGCAATCAAAATGGGCACCTAAGATATGTGTTGTCTAAATGTTAAAGAGTGAAATAATGGTTTGAAACCCATGGTTGGAGGTGATTAGTAGGATTGAAATTGTATAGCTAGAATGTGAGAACCAAATTTGTTCTGACTAATAAGAGTATACAATTTATACTAATTTAAAATAATCTTAACAATAGTAATAAAAGTAATTTGATAGTTGGATCTAAATGTAAGACACGTACTAGGCAAGCATGCAAATTGAGTGTTGCCAAAATGATAATATAAGATAAATGTGTTGTAAAGCTAGATAAAAGGGCTTAGTGATTGTTGAAAATTCATGATTGGAGATGATTAAAAAACAAAATCATAATAATATTCAAGGATGAGAATATTTGCACCAAAAAATTTAAATAATGACAAGTCTTATAGGTTTGTAACTATGGGATACACCAATCACATATTTAGGGTTAGTTTGGGGCGGCGGTGCGACATCACACCATAGTTTTTCTGTTTTGGTAAACTACGTTTTAACAATTTTTTCAAAAATTTACATATGAAATCTGCTTTTTTCCACTGGCCCTAGGTAGGTGCGGTGACAACTTTCTAGCTGTCGTGTAACTATTTTTTAAAAAAAACTTTTTGAATATCTGATTATTTTTCAGTAGCTTCACAACTATTTTTTAATAAGCTGCAACTGCTGCAAACAAATTTTTAGCGTGTGATTATTGCCATGTAGGTGCCTATTTGGTATTAGTCTCCTAAATCTAGTGATCTTTTTTGAACCTCTTCGAATATGCAAATGTTTTGACAAAAAGACAACATTTGATCACTTTTTCAACTTGCAATAGCTTATGATGGTATATTACTATCGGCTGCTAAGGTTGTACTTTTATAACTTTTTAAATGCGTTATCTGGTTATTAAACCATTCTTTTTTGTCTCATTTTTATTCCCATTCACTTTTAAACCTTGCTTTCTCTTCCCTTTATTCTCACTTCTCTCATTATCAAAATAAATCTTCTCGAAATTCGCAAGGAAACTTTTGGTTGCTTCACATTAAATTCTATTAATTTTGTTCTTATTTTCATTTTTCTTATAGTGCTACCTCGACAATAAGTTTTGTTTTAAATATCCAAAAAAATATAAATTCAAGTATTTTACATTATTGTAAGTGATTTGTCATTTTTTAAATTCATATTAAAGTATTCTTGTTGTTTTAAGTGCAAAGTTTATATTATTTTCGTGATCTTTCATTAAAGCTTCCTTTTTTTTAGGAACTCACGCGCATACTCATATGTGCTTAGCCGTAAATTCAAGGCTTTTTGGTTTGAGAAAGGCACTCAACCACTGGACTAGGGGGCCGTGTGGGAACGCGGTTTACTTGCGGCTCGTCCCCAAACTACAATTAATATTCGTTTGTTTCGGTGTTTGCTCAACTGCGAGGAGCGTTTTTAATGAAACACGGGCTGCGAGTTCTACCCCTCGGCCCGCGTTTCTTCATTTTATTTGTCAAAGTTGCCCTCGCCTTTCGACTCTGCTTTCTCCTCTTCTGCCCTAATCGTCTCGTGTTGTGCTCCCGCATTTCTTTCAATCTCGAAGCTTTCTCCAAACCGATTCGCTCTCTCATGCTTCTGCTCTAACCCTCCCTCTCTCGCATTCTCTTATTCGCCTACGGTATTCTCTATCTCTTAAACCTGCATCTCCTGACTTCGTGAGTTTGATTGTTGGTTTTTTTGAAAGTTACAAAAATTTGTTGGTATCTGGTTATATTTCGTGCATTTGGTTAATGTTTTTCATTCGTAATATGTGAGGGTATTAATTGCTGGTAATCATGGTTTTAATTGCTGTTCGTTTGTTTCATTAATTTGAGATGCAGAGGATGAGATGTTGGTTTTGGCTGCTGTTTTGGTTTTATGCATTGGTGATGACAGTTTTGTCATTGCTTTGGTGGGGTGTTGGATTTGTGGTGTTGTATTTATGATTTTGTTATTACATTGGTGATGGAGAAAGTTCTACAGTTACGGGTAATCCTTAGAGGACAGGTATAATATTAATTTTATTCCTTACTGACATCACGTCTGACACACAGTTACGGGAGAAAATTCTACAGTTGCCCACGGAGCGTCACAGAGAGGTGTGCTTTCTTCCGATGGGCGGACAGTCTGCGAGACTCCACTGCTGATAGTGATCGGGGTTTGATGGTATCCTTGGAGGACTGTTTCTCGTGACATACGACGTCTCGATTTAAAATTAATATTATTATAATTTTAATTGTAATTTTAATAATTTTTTTATCAATCTTGATACTCAGTGTTAAATGAGAATTATTTTAACTTTTTTCTTTACTGTTCTGTATTAGTTTTCTGCTTCTGCAGTATCAAATATATTGCTAATACAGTTTTGTTATAAACAACATTACTTAACACGGACATAATGATCTTTTATCTATAAACTGCTACAAATCAGCTATTTTCAAACAGCTGTCTTAAACAGACAACTAACTTATTTGGGTAAGCTGCTAATCAGCAGCCAGATTATTCAATAAGCTACAACTGCCCCAAACAGATCTTAAGTTGGTCGTAAAATATTTTAGAATTGTTTGTTTAAATAAAAAAAAAGTGGGTAACAAAATTAATGCTTTAATATAATGATAATTAAAGAATAACATTGACCTTCATACCTACTTAGCTGGGCAATGAAATTAAATAG